AAATTCTTATCAGTCTTAACAATTAATTGAAATTTTTTTTTTTTTTTTTTACAATAATAATTAATCACATATATTATTATTATTATTGTTATTTAAAAACAAAAAAAAAAAACAAAACAAAAATTTTTTGTATCCAATTAATAAATTTTTAACCGTTGATTTCCTCCTCCTCCTCCTTCCCCTCTCCTCCCCCCACCCGTTCACCCACCCACCCCTTCCGGAATTAATTAAACCGGATGTTGGACTGCAATGTGAAACAACCATTTTTCCATTGCAATCATCACCACCCACCCACCCAATCAATCAATCATTTTTTCATAATTAATCGATATATATATATATGTTAAACGGGGAAAACAAACAAACGAACAAACAAACAAACAGAAACAAACAAAAAACAAATTTAACCCATTTAAATATATCCGGTAAGTCTAATTTTTTCCTTAACATTCACAATTTATACCAAAAAAAAAAAATAAAAAATAATATTCATACATTCTTTTTTATAAAAGCATTATTTAATAGTATTATTATTATTATTATTATTATACCTAATTAATAATGTTTAAATATAAATAAATAAATAAATAATAATAATGAACAAAAAAAGAAAAATTTAAAAACTAACAAAAAATCCAAATTTATAAAAAAAAAAAAGTTTTCCTTTTTTTTGAGTCAGTTATAAATGGGTGAAACAACAACAACAACAACAACAACAAACAACAAACAAATTGTTTTTCGTTGTTGTCATTATTTACACATTTGGTTTGTTGTTTGGTGTGTTTTTCGAACGAAAAAAAATTCCAAAAAGAAAATGTATGAAAGAAGAAAAGAGATAGAAAATAAAAAGAGACAGGTATATATATATACATATGTGTTGCGTGTGTGTATATATATATATGCATAGAATAAAAAAATTACTATTATTATTATTATTAATTTTTTTTTATATATAATAAAAAAAATCAACGATTTCATAGAATAATAATAATAACATTTTATAAATTTTTCTTTTTTAAATATGTATACAAATTTATTAAATTCGGGTAAATCACAGCATTAAATCAGTCTTATTTTTGTAAATAATAATAATAATAATTTAAATAAAATTAAAAAAAAAAAAAAAAACCGAAAAAAAAGTAATAATAATAATAATAATAATGAAAATGAAAATGTCTCTACCCAATTAAATTATTTATTTATTTATTTTTAAATTAATAATAATAATAATTTCAAATTGTAAATTGTTTGTGTATGTTAAGTAAGTAATTAATCAAATGCTTGGAAAAAACTAACCCATTTCTCCCCACCAATCAATCAATCAATCAATCAATCACACAAAACAACCAAATTTTTCTCACCATTCTTCGTTTTGGTTGTTTTTTTTCATTTTATCAAATAGCCCTACCGGAAATTATTTTACTTTTTTTTTTTTTTTTTGAAATAACTTATAAATTTTTATTATTGGCTGTTATTGACATTTTTTTTAATTACAGGTAAAATAATTAATTAATTAATTAATTAATTAAATTTCAAATACTGTTCAAAATCACCGCGACGGTGGCGACGCCTATCAATTCATTCACGAATTAAGGTAAGTAAATACACGTGCTTTATAATAATTCATTTTAAATTTTCACTCCCACTCCCACTTCCTCTCTCTCTTTTTCTCTATCATTTATTTTCAATTACCAAAAAAAAAAAAAACAAAATCAAATAATAATAATAATAATATTCGTGAATTTAAAGCTTTTTTTCAATTTTTGTAAAATAATTAAATTAAATTTTAAATTTATATATATATAAAAAAAAAAAAAAAAAAAAAAAGAAAACAACAATAACAATAACAGCCTTTCTCTTTTTCTTTCATCTCTTTCTATTTTTTATAACATATTAAAATTAATATACATAACATATACATCACATATTTGAATGTTTAAACAAAACCCTGAGTTTTTGAAAAAAAAATTTATTTTTTTCTTTTTCGCTTTTATCATTTTGAACACAAGTTCCTCGTTAAAAATTAATTTTATTTTTTTTTTTTTTAAATTTGAATTCGCCATTTTTCAATTATTTTTTTACTACATCATTTTAATTTTAAATTAACAATTTAAATAAATTAAAAAAGCCAAATAATTTTTTTTTTTTTTTTTTTTTTTTAATATTTTTTTCTTTTAAACAAATCCAAGTGGAATTTAGAAAAAAAAAAAGATAATTATAAATATATATATATATATATATATATATATATATATATATATATATATATATATATATATATATATATATATATATATATATATATGAATAATAATTCACTGACTAGTCGTATTAAAAAAAAAAAAAAAGGCAAATTAACATTTTGTTATTATTATTATTATTATTTAATCACATACATTTTATGAATTTTTAATGAAAAAAAAAAACACCTCCTCCCAAGCCTCCCCACCCCTCAAAAAAAAGAAAAGAGATCAATTAAATTTTTTATAATGTTTTGTTA